ACTTGTCAGCAGGCACATGACTCCATCTTTAATCGTAACATCAGACAAATGAGATCCTTCTATCAGGTCAAGGTTCTTTTGAGAACAGTAAAACCCATGCAAATCTTAGCAGAAATTTTTTGAAAACAGGCTTATCTATCCATACCACAGATTTCAACACACAAGTCAGTCATTCTCTTTGACAGGGAACTACATGGGTTTAAAACTTAAAAACTAAAGCTACCCAACTCTCATGTGTTACTGAGTCAAAGAATAATACAGGTAACAAATAGCTGTTTCAAAGGTGAGTAGTGGTTGGAGACACATGAAGCAATTAAAACTAAGTCATCATCCTCACATTGAGGATGGAGTCCGAGAAACCACTGGGAAAAGTTACATCCGCACTGCCCGCCCTGTGGTCAGCACTCCACCACAGCTGTGAGACCTGTGGCTCCTGCATCCTCATCCCGTTCTCACAGGCACTACCCCAGGCTCTTCGAGATTCTCAGCTGCTACACAGTAGGGCAGACACCAGTTGTCTAGCTTTCCCTGTTGGTGAGGATGGCCACCAGGAGTTCCTTTTCCCTCCTTCCATATACTTGCAATTTATGATAGAGACACAGAAATTTCCTCTATTTATCAGGTTATAATTTTAACATATGCATGTAAAGCCTTGGTTCAAAGCAAAATACATCAACTCTTTCCTCCATCAACAGGTGGCATTAGGCTGTTCAATTATTCTGAGGTCTGCTGAGTTTGAGCTTACAGTCAAACCTCAGTACGCCCTAGCTTCAGAACTGGTCAAACCCTGTATTCATCGCATTTGGACAAGAAAAAATGTTGCAGTATTTGGTGGTTGCTCAGAACTTGTCTTGTTTGCTAGAACTTTTATGAGTCACAGTGCTGTCCTGCAAGAGAAAACACTTCATTGTTTGGTACTCATCGGTTTCAGCAACTCATCACAAGTTCCGGAACAAATTAAAGATGAGTACTGAGGTACCACTGTATTTGTTAAATGTGTAATGACTACGAATATCATAATGTCCTCTAAGTTCAAAGTGTGAAAAAGCATTATGGAATCAAAGCAAAGAATTTTAAAGAATAAAACGGCGAGAAAATAAATTGCTTATGTGAAGCCACCAGCAGAATAAAAAGATCAAGGGGCAAGCTGATATTCGAGGGTCATGGTGAAAAAGAAGGAGCCAGCCAAGAAACTGAGAAGGAGTGACGGAGAGGGAGGAGGAAAACTAAGAGAAACCAATGAAGAAAGACTGGATGAGGAGAAGCCATAAAAATGTAACGCAGAAAACAGAACAAAACTCTCAGGCAAAAGGAGCATCTCATAAAAACTGAAGCAGCTGCTACTAGAAATGGTTATTTTCAAAGTTAGGTCTCACCTAAACTGATCTTACAATGGAGATTATAAATGGGTAGGCCTAAAAGATAATTTGACAGCTCCCAAGGAGCAATATGATTCTTCTTTTTTTTTTTCTCTAATTTTAGAAAGAGGGGAAGGGAGGGAGAGAGGAAGAGAAACATCAATGTGAGAGAGAAACATTGATCGGTTAGCTCTCGTACATGCCATGACCACGGATCTATGCATGTCTCCTGACCAGGAATCAAATCAGCAACCTCTCAGTTTGCTGGATGACGTCCAACCAACTGAGCCATAACAGCCAGGGCTGAGTCTTCATTTTTAAAAGTGAACTACTAAACGATAAAACCTTCAACCTTGCTTTGAGAGCAAGACTGCCATAAAGCATACATATTCCCTCTCAAATGATCATGTATAGTCTAATAAACAGATGTCAGAATTTCTAACATAACCATGACAGCACTTCATTCTTTCAGAAAAACCTAGACATCTAGGTTTCCAGAATCTCTCAGAAAAACCTAGTTGATTAGTGACCTGGTTTTAACACTAAATCTCATGCTCAAGGTCCAGTTCCAACCCTGTGGAGTTTTTACTAACCACTTATCCAAATGGTTATCATCTTTCTCCTTTGACTCTTACAGTTCCCTGCCCCTCAAAAAGACTCAACTAGCAATCACATTGCCTTAACTCTCATTTTTATACCAGAAATGAATACATGCTTTACATATGTTTTCTCTAATCCTTACAACAACTTTACAAAATGGGGTTTATCCCTATGTTACATAGATGAAGAAACTAATGCTTAGAAAGATTACCCAAGGCTGTCTAATTAGTAAAGGACAAAACAAGGATTCAAACCCAGACATATCTTACTCCCGAGCCTTTGCCTTTACCCACTGTGCAATACTGCCTCTTGCATAAAAGCACTGCTTATCAGTCACAATCTCTGTGGACCCTGGGCAAGGTTTTAAAGCTCTTGGTGCCTCAGTCTTCTCACTCATGAAATGGGGGTGATACATCACAGCTAGTGTGTACTGTTTTGAAGATCAAATAACATAATATATATAAAAACCCTTCATAAACTACAGTGGTTTTTATTACATCACTAGATTTTATGTTTCTTCTGGACAGGTTCTTATGCCTTACATGTCTATGTCCTTCAATACCCAATAAAAGGCTTACTTAATATGAATCGAACATCATCGACTAGTCTTTGGAAAGATTTGAAACGCCTTTTACCCCTCCAACGAAGAAGGTGGTGTCCCATTTCATGAAGTCTAGATTAAGTGTCCTCAATACAAACTTTAAATTACAAAACAGTGACAAACTCAGTGTACTCATCACATGAGATTTAAACACCTTGCATGACATTTAACTGTCTCGTGTTTTCTCTCCAACAAGGCTTCCAGTGCTGTAACAGTTTGACAAAGAGAAAATCCCAAATACCAACACCATTTGTAAGAAAATGTGTCTAAAGGAAGAAAATCAAGAAAAAGGCCGGTTTCCTATCAGAGTTAACAGAGACCTTACTGTTCTGATTTATAGCCTCCTGATGACGATGACATCTGCCGCACTGTCTCACTCATCATTCACTCGGAAATTTGATTCACGTTAAGAAGAAGACCACAGCATACATACTATATTTTCTCATGCACATTTATCCCTTCCCCCCCAGTAAGACAGGCACATCTAGTGAGATACCCAGGGAAGTGGCCCCATACCCTGTGAAGTAAGGCTAGACTAGATTTGCTACCAGGTAAGCACAGTGGAAGGGCACCAACCCCTGCTCTGCTGTTAAGTGATTCTTGGGAAGTCACTTAACATCTTTGGTAATGATAGACCTGTTTTCTGGTCTGTAAAACATAGAGCTAACATTACTCATTTTGCCTATTTCATAGATTTACTGTGAAAATCAAATGAAATAATAAATATTTATAAATGATAAATATATTACTAGAAATAACTAGACGATCACCTACTACTTGTACTGTGGTAAATGTCTGGTATTAGCAAAGCCGAGAGACTGATTTCTCTGGGCATGTTCACCCTGTAGGACCAGATAACTTTTTTAAAGAATCTACTCATCTTTGAAAAGGGCATAACAAATATTATCTTAACTACAGAAGCTATGGGACAGATAGTTGGTAAAGTGATCCTTCCACAGTGAATCTATAGTCCAGCCAAAAATAGTTTCCAATGATTTAGACATGCCTCCTTAAAATGTGTGAAATGGCTCATTAGATCGAGCCGTAGCCACATTCTGCATACATGACAGGGGTTACATGCCAGGTCATCTTACCTGGTACCTCAGTCTCTGCAAAATGCTAAGTGGCTCAGAGTACTAAACGCTAGTCCTTGTTCATCTCCCCACTGGTCACCCCAGGTGCTTCCCTAACACCTCTGGCAAAAAGAGAATAAGGAAAACTGAGAAATCAAAAGTATTCTTGGATGCAGAACATGCCTGCCATCTCTCTTTATGCTTCCTTAACCTAATCCCTTTCTGAACTGGACACAGGGACCCACAGTGTTGAAGATGCAGTTTACCAGCTGACCCCTTGAGCTCAGTAATTTTTTGAACTGTTACAAACTTCACAAAACTTTTTTTTAATTTATTTATTTTTAGAGAGAGGGAAAGAGAGGGAGAGAAACATCAATGTGTGGTTGCCTCTCATGCACCCCCTACCAGGGGTGGGGGACCTGGCCTACAATCCAGGCATGTGCCCTGAATGGGAATCAAACCAGCAACCCTTTGGTTCACAGGCCCATGCTCAATCCACTGAGCTACACCAGGGAGGGCTACGAAACTTTTAACTACAGAAAAGTTGCACAGACATCCAAAAGTAGAGTAAAATCTACAAAAGATCCAGGTTTACACATATAGTATACATACAAAAGAAAACTTCATCCTAACATCATTTTTGTTTATCAACTATGTTGAACAGTCAATACATTTCAGCCACAATAGTAAGAAAAAAGGAAAAAACATAATAAGCTCTTTTGAGCAAATTCTGCCAGGAGCAAGTATTTTAGACACTGCTTCTTCTTGGTTCAGTATGAAGAGGCTGAATTCACCTTTCAAATCAAGATAAACAATATAAATTGCCTGAGCACTGGAAATACTAATTTCCTATGAAACTGTTCCCTCTCCCCTCACTGGGAACTTGCTAATGTTTCTCAAACAATCAACCCCTGAATAGAATTCCCGTTTTCCCAGAAGGATCCCACAAGTGAATGTAATGCTTCTTTGTGTCAAGGTCATATTCATATTAACCTAATTTCTGCACCCTTTTACTGAAAAAGAATATTTTGATGTTGCACCATCTTTGTCCCTGATTATCATTTGAAACTCACTTCAAGCAACAATGACCTATCAAGTTTTTCATACTGATGCCATTTATTTCAATTGTTCTTGTTTGTTTAGGTTTGGTGATTTCTAAAATACCAAAGCACGCCATTAAACATTTCCTCTGTTTAATAATCTGATGGGTTTTTTGACCTTGTCTTAAAAGGCCTTGAACTTCAGGAGTCCCTGAATTGCAATCAGCATAACATTTAAGGCCAACTTCAACCTGATCTAGCTTGCTCTTCGAAGTTTTCCTGTGCGAAATAACACCTGTTACCAGCAAAGCCAAGGAAGCATACTCACCAAGTGAACATAAGGCACAAAGTATCCAAAAAGTGCAAGTGGTATTCCAACTGCCCACACTGTGTAAGCTGTCACCTTGAATATGGCAAAATTGAAAAATTTTTTTGGAGGACTGAGCTTTCTCCTGGAAAAGAAGGAGAATCGGTTGCCTCCTTTGATTCCACTCTCTTTCTCTCTGACACTGGAAGCAAGAGGTCGGTAAGTAAAGCCAGCCAGAAAGAGAACAAACATGAAGATGCAGAGGACCCTCAGTGTATAAAAGAGGCCCACAGTGTTGATCAGAACCCTTAAAAGCAAAGGCAGCAAAACTGTGAAGATACTGCTGCCAGCAGTGACAATGCCATTCACCAGTCCAAGGCGCTTCTTGAAATAGTGTCCCAAAATGACCAATGAAGGCTGGTATGCAAAGGCGCAGCCACAGGCAAATATGATTCCATAGGTAAGGTACAGAGGTTCGATGGAACTGTGTAAAGATGAAAAAGACGGAAAGCAGCTTTCATTATTTTGATCATGTGCTTGGTGGAATAAAACCTTACAATAAAAGTGGGTTCTAGTTAATCAGTGTATTTTCTACAAATAAAACTTAACTAAATGCACAGGAAAAAACTTAATAAGCCAAGAATGTAGCACTAAAACCATTTTAATTTAATCTGAATGTCTCGAGTACATGAAAGATGACCGTTAAGGTGATTTTCATCCCATGGATTTCGGGTGAACTGGGCAGCACCGGGCAAAAGCTGCTGTGCTGTCCACAGTTCCCAGAGGACAGGGCCAGGGAGGGCCTCTGTAACTGACAGGGATTAAACTAACACACAAACAGTAAGTCTCAATAAACGTTTAAAGAATCATAATTTAACTATGAAGCTCATAGTTAAATTATCATAATTTAACTATGAAGCTCATAGTTAAATTATGAGGAGTTTTGATGGAGTTTTCCCAGGCACTTCCCAGCAATCTATTCAAAGAAAAGGCTGCATTTTATATTTCTTCCCCAAGGGTATGTCAGAAACATCTGCACAGAAGAGCAGTTGTGTGGCACTCTTGCTGGCCGAAGGGCTGCAGACCAACGTTCGCCTTGTGCTGCCCTGTTCTCAGTGTTGTGCAAGATAACAAGAAACCATATTCTGATTGCAGGCAGGCTAAACAAAGCATGTTCATTAGTGATCCCAGTTTGTAAGCTTCAAGTCCATGTAGATCTCAAATCAATAATAAAGGATTAAGAATTTCATAGTTTAATCAAGTAACTTAATTACACATCTCTTCTCAAAATCAAGAATTATATCATTACATTTATTGAAACAAGATATGGAGTAAAATAAAACTAAAGTTGTTTTTTAAATATCCAATTGAAAAGGCTATTTATCAAGTAGTAAAGGTAACTATTTATTAGAAACTACGATAAAGTTGGTTAAGAATTAAATTTTAGACAATAGTACTAATGGAGGTAATCACAAATAACTCTGGAATTTGATAAAAATTAATGCATGTTTGCCATTCTTTCTGATGCCCTTTCCCCCTCCATTATCCACAGCTAGCACCACCCTTCAAGAGTCACTACCAAATTAACTTTACATCACTCTGATCCCCCATTACTGCATCTCCACTCTTTATTCTATAGACATACATTTGGCAGCTACTGCGTTCCAGGTACCGGGTGAAAAAATACGTAACATGTGGTTATGTCCTACTCATAGTTTGGTTAGTAAAATAAGACATCTACCCTACAAAATACAGGACAGTATATAAATAACAATGCATTTATTCTGCATCAGTTTTTCCATGTAAGTAGTTTCCCAGATAACTACAATTTACTTCTTAAGGCACTATTTTCAATATTTTTACTTATGATTTTATTTTTCTCTAATTTTAAAGGAAAAACCTGAATCTATTACAAACTCTCTGCCTTCTTCAAAGCGTGTATTAAAAACGGTATTGGCAGCAGAGTGTCACCATGAACATCCACTTCTACACAGTCACACTGCAGTGCTGTGCAGCCATCAGAGGAAAACACCCAGGGAGCAGAGGACGTACACCGAACACATCCTTTGGCACACCACATTAAGTACTGCGTGCTGGGCGAGATTAGCTTTATTCTCTCCCACAGAGTCAAGCACATAAACTCTGGGATGACACGTTCACTGCCGCTAAGCCTTTTTCCACTTATCTCTAAATCTGCACCTCAGTGACAAAGGGCTCAGGATGCTGGGGTCTGACAACTGAGTGAGTGAGTGCAGCATGAACCAGCAAGGTACCAGTCACCTGTGTAAAAGGGGTTCAGAGAAAGGACACTGACGCGACCGGGGATCTTTGGAGAAGGCTTTCCTAAGAAGGCAGGACTTGAACTTGAGAAAAAGTGGGTCCCATTGTTCAACACTTAGAATACATACCACATTTCCCTTTCCTCCTATATATTGCTCTAAAAGTATATAGCTTTTCATCAGTGGGTTAAATGGTGAAACTAAACAGAAAATATGAGAGCACTACATGTATTAAGCACATAACATGGTTTCAGCTCATTGTGTTTCATTTAAGGGAGAGAACACACAGAGAACTGAGTCACAATGTAAAACATATTTCATACTTTTTACTCCTCAGTTACCAAAAAGGTTTGAAAAACACTGCTTACTGTTAAGTAGGTCTGCATTTTGTCTACCAAGCGAGGTAACAAACTACATGGGTTTTCTACTCTGGGTCCTCTCTCCAGCAAAGCCTGGTTGTTAACACATTCAGTAAAGTGCTAGGGCCGCAGGTACTGACAATGGGTACCTGCAAGCTTCCAGATCCAAACAGGTATCTGACAACTCATTAATAACACAAGGTTGTATTACTGTTAAAAAAAAAAAGAACTAAAAGTAAATGATCTCATAGAATTAACTAACAGAATCTTATTTCAAACAAAACTGGTTTTGTTTTTTTAAAAGACAACTTTAGAAGGAAAAATCCCTAAAGGCACTTTAAAGATGGAATATATATTTTCTATCAAGACATAAAAATAATTGTTTAGAATCCAAATAAAATTTCTAAGTTAGGCAAAAAAGGGAGGCTCATTTTAGAGTTGAAGAAGGGGCGTGTAGGTGGGGTAGGAAAAACTTAGTAAACCAAGGATTCTGTTGATTAAATCCAGAATATTTAAAAATAAATCAAGGCAAGAAATGTACATGTGTGTGTTTTCCTAATAACCTCAATGATGTTTTTCAACTAATGCATGAAAACAGCTAGGGAAGGGAAAGAGGCAGGAAATTAAGATACACCACTGAAATAGATACAAGATGGATATTGCTTTAAGAGGTTTTCTTACTAATCACCTCCTGTTAGCCAGAGCAACGTATTAAGCTAGTGTTTCTCTAAGGATTATTCTGACAAAGCAAAGGGATTTATTTCCTAGCAGAACTGGGACTGGAGGGAGAAGTGCTTCATACAGCACCATGCCCATCAGCTCTCTGCAGTTAGTTCCTCGTCAGGGCACTACATCTTTAGCAGACACAGGGAAAGTGTATTGATATTTTTTATTTTAAGCTGCATTTGACCACTTCATTTTGCCATAATCTTTTTAAATTTTAGCATTTTTAAAATGCACACAGGAATTCTCTACCTGGGTTCAAAGAAATAGCAAAGCTTTGGTTTCGTTAGTGAAAATATTTCATAACAAGCCCGTGAACAGCTGCTTCAACATACCACTTATTGTACCCACTGGGCTTCAGACTAAGCTGACCTTAAACTAAAGTTCTTGCTTTAGATGACTCGCTGTTATGAGTTCTTTTAGGGGGTTTATGTGAATAGAAAGAAACAAAAGGAGAAACATTTTTCTTGCTCCAGGGAGTATATATATCCTGACTGACATCTAACTCTTAAGTGCTGCAAGCCAAAACATTCCATTTCTCAAGCTCTGATTTGCTGCTATGGATAACAATGTTTAAATTTTGTTGCTTATAGCAAAATTTATGAACAGAAACTTTTCAAGTATCTAACATGTTTTGAAAAGCAATATAAAGAAACCCAGTCCTTACCTTACAAAAGAACTGGACAGGAGCCCAATGAATCCGACGGCAGCGCCCACAACAGCAGTTTTCCGGCAGCCAAAGGTGTCTGTGACGACGCTGACTATTGGGCAGCAAAAGAAAATCATCCCCATGCAGAGAGAACTTACCCATGCTGTAAGAGAAAAAAGGGGGACATTACGACATGGTAAATTATATTTGCACTTATTCCACAAGCTATAATACATATTTAGGAAAGTATTAATGCAGAAAAGGTATTACCCAGAGAAGTGAATGGGGGAAAGTTGGAGTAAACTACTAACAAATATGAATCGTAGCTCAAAGAATTAGCCAATATTAACTGTAATTAGTACAGCAATTATTTGTGTTGAACCTAATTCTTGGGAAGTTTGCATCCTTAAATAAATCAAACATTCTTCTACGACTCAAGCACTATTAATCTCTACCCTGATTTCTATAGTTTTAAGCAACTTCTCTATGAAAAAAATTAATTGAAAAAAATACTATAAGTAGTCAAACTGCAAAGAGATGATGACCACTGAAGTAAGAATTGTGGTTAACCACGGGGTAGAGAAAAGAGAATTATAACCATCTGGCTCTAGTAGTTAAGAAATGAACATTTGACCCTGGCTGGTGTGGCTCAATGGATTAAGTCCTGACCCACGAACCAAAGGGTTGCTGGGGGGCGCATGCCTGGGTTGTGGGCCAGGTCTCCAGTGGGGGGTGTGTAAGAGGCAACCACACACTGATATTTCTCTCCTACTTTCTCCTACCCTTCCCTCTCTCTAAAAATAAATAAATAAAATCTAACAAAAGAAAGAAATGAACAGTTAGCCCTGGCTGGTGTGGTTCAGTGGATGGAACACCAGCCTGCAAACTGAAAGGTCACTGGTTCGATTCCCAGTCAGGGTACATGCCTGGGTTGTGGGCCAGGTCCCCAGTTGGGGGCATTAAGCAACCAACTGATGTTTCTCTCCCTTTCTTTCTCTCTCCTTTCCCCGCTCTCTAAAAATAAGTAAAATTTTTAAAACTATGAAATGAACATTTACCTAGAGTCCAGGCTTAGTTATTTCTCTAAAGAAATCAAATCATACACAGGTAGAGTATTTGCTGACCTGGATAATAGTTAATCGGCATTCACATTATTAATAAAACGACACATATATTTTATCTTCTTTCTGAAAGTATATTATCTTCCACAATAAAAAATTAAGAATCAGAAGTCATAATTTCCTGTCATGATTCTATGAAAACCAAAACAAAAAAAAAAACCAAGAGAGAAATACTGAGTACAAATTATCATAATTTTGTGCCAAAGAAATGAGTGAGCTCGTAAGATGTCAAGTCTGTAATTCTTCTTTACAAGTATAATAAACTAATGGGGATTAAGGAAACCCAGATCTGGGTCCAAATCCCACAACTCTGTCACTACAATATATCCTGAGTCTGTTTTCTTATCTCAAAATTGGATCAAACACATAAACATTTCCAGAATTACTAAGGATTAGAGAAAATGTATCTATACATCATTGTCTAGCACAGCAGCACTTAGTAATTTAGAACTTTAACAATAAATTGTCTGTGTATAAAATGAAACAGATGATCTACAGATCTCCATCAAGCTCTGCAAGTGCACTAGTGTGTTACTGTATTTCCTCAGCAAAGGAAGTGCAGACTCAATGCAGATGGCCAGCTCTTAATAACAGGGGCCAAATGAATTCAGCTTTACCAGAATAACAATTTCACTTATTTCTTTGTCTTCCTACATTTTAAGTTATTTTTTAAATTCTGTATATTTTAATCGGCTGTATTTCCATTTCCTTTCTTCCCTCACCAGAAAGAAGGGAGACTGTGATCTTAGAACAAAATACAATGAAGAGACTGAACAAACAATGCAATCCTGACTTAGGTGTTGGTGGTTGGGGTTCGGGGGCTTCAGAGGTGAACAGCAGAGAGAGCGGATTGGCCAGATGAGTTAGCAGAGCCCCAGTCTCAAATGTGCTGAGCTGTTCAGTATGGATCTGTTTAAGGAGGAATAAGAATTTTTTAGGCCCCAGTCACGTAGCTCAGTTGGTTAGAGCATTGTCCCAATATGCCAAGGTTGCAGGTTTGATCCCCAGTCAGGGCACATACAAGAATCAATCAAAATATACATAAATAAAGTAGAACAACAAATCAATGTTCTTCTCTCTCTCTTTCCCCTCCCCTTCCTCTCTAAAATCAATCAATAAAATTTTTTAAAAAGAATTTTTAGTGTACTATCTTATGTAAAAATACCCCCCAATTTATAATAATTGAATCTCATTCAAAAAAGTTTAGTCACTTGTCACGTTTATGAAACAATCTAGGCAGACTAGAAGAATAACGTCACAACATCTGTTTTTTGGATAAAGGCACTTTTACGATTAACAAAAATGCCAACACTGAACAAGAGACCACGTTAAGAAATCTAGGAACTTATATCACATGTAATGCTCATATAAGTCTAGGCATTTTCAAGAATGAAATCAATTCTTTATGCATTACTGTAAATTTTGATCTGCTGTACCAAATATGAACATTTTTACAGATTTTCATGTCTACTGAATATAGTGGTGGATATAATCCACCCCTGAGTGTGGGATATAATCAAATACAACTTCATTTTTGTCTCAATTATCCTCTTAAATATTATACAGGGGACAATACTCCCCTGCCATTGGAGGACCACTTCACCAGGCCCACCCTCCAATACTGGAGGACCAATATTAAATAACAGAAAGACCTAGGGTCACTTTAGTTAACAAACCAATCTTCACTTGATAATCAAATCTTTTTTCCCCAACCCCTTCTGGTAAGAGAGTAAGAACGGCTTGGTCTCTTTCCTATGCCTTCCTCTCCCCTCCCCAGCTGTCATTCTCCACAGCGTGCACAGGAGAGAGGCACACCGGAAGAAGGCAGGCAAGGAGACTCCAACATAAACGGTCCTGCCAAAAGGCCTGTCTGATCACGTTCAAAGCTGACTTTTTTCTCAGATGCACTTTGTGGGTTTTTCAGTCTCGCCTCATCAGAGTTCCTTCTAGCTCTAGTTCCAAGACTCTCTGTTGGAGCCTTACTGCCCTTCTACGCAGTTTATTTGGGAAAGAATCTGAGAGTTCCAGCCTGCCCCTCTGCTCACTGGGCCTGCCTCTGATCTGTTGGAAACACTAACATGTCCTTTACCCTGACACACGCTGGAGTGCAGGCAAATGCCAGCACTGTGCCTCTTGGATAGCTCTTTGGAGCAGGGAGCCAGGTAGTTCTCTCCTTGTTGCATTTCTCAGGGATTAAGAACCCCATCCTCTGTGCCCCCTAAATAAGGAAAATTCTTTAAATCTCTAAGTGATCCCTTTAAAGCTCCTCTTACTAGATAGCAAGTAAATGAGCACGTACCCCCCCATGTCTCCCATTGGGTAGGAGGAACTCCATTATTTCCTACAGAATAACTTTCTGAAGGAAACCACACAAAATGTTCTTCCTTAACCCATAAAAATCCTTCTTGTAGGTTTTAGAGCTTCTACCTGGGTCCTGAACATGAAATATCTCATTTTTAAAATTTTTACACTATTGTACCTTAGTGCCTTAGCTAAATCCAAGTAGTGTATTCCATTACAATAATTAGCAATATATGAAGTTAGGTCTATCTTCTGATCAAATTCAAGAAAATTAATTCTCAAATGAATAATTACTTGCTGTTATAAACTCATTAAAATTTCTAGTCTTTATAAAGTTTTAACCTGGCATCCCAAAGAATCCAAGGTCTTATGGGTTATGATATGCACCATAAAAATATAATAAACTGTTATTCTCATTCACCTCTTCCAAGTCTGACTGTGATTATTATTAATAAAAACTCAGTAGCGTTAGCTGTTGAAATGATAATATATTTGTGTATGAGGATGAAGAAAGTACTTTTATTAAGTTCACTTAATAATTGAGAAACTCATGTATATAGTTACTATATCCAGCATTGTAAAATTTTTATTTAAAAAATATAAACCAGACCTAAACCCTCTACGTAATTCAACAAACACCCACACAGGGTTTCCTAAAATTGCTGAAAAAATAAATATTTTTCAATGGAAGAAGTCCTACTTAAATTATGGAATAACATTCTCTCCTTTTATATTAAAAGTGCCAATTGTGTTTAAGCACTATCCTAGGCTGTTGAGATTTCTCGACCTTCATATGATTTTTGGTCTAGCAGCATATATGCAAATAGAGATACAACTGGAACACCACAGAGAATGTACTCAATGTCTCAGGAGATATAGATATCAAAAAATGTATAATAGCTGTATACCTGAAACTAATACAAAATAATATAGAATATAAACTGTAATTGAAAAATAAAACTTTAAAAGTGTATACTGAAGGCTTCAGCATGTGCTTGTATATCCTATTTGGATATGTGTGCATTTGATATTAAAGAGAGAGACATCCAATAAAGCTCGGACGGGATATCTTGTTTCAGAAAACATCACGCAGCTTTCCGGTCTCCCCACCCAGATCTTTGTCTCCTGCTCCATACTAATAATAAATCCCCATCTCAGTGTATGGCCAAAGGAGAACGCAAATCAGTCAAACGAAGTGGTTAGGCTTAATATTTAAGAATATTTTTTTAGGTTAAGTAAAATAACCAAAAAATATATTCAGTAGGCTCACTAGCAGAATGAAGATAAATGATAAGAAAAAAATCTGGGAATTTGAAAACAGAGATTACCCAATCCAAAGAACAAAGAGAAACATAAGAGTAAATAAAAAATAACAGTTTTAGAGATTTATGGAACAAAATTCAAAGAGCCCAACATAGTAGTATAGCTTAAGTCATAGAAGAATGAAGAAAGGAAAAAGGAGCAGAAAAATATATATGGAGAAAAAAATATTTCCCCCAAATTACAAGTTCTATGAAAAATACTAACTTACATATCTAAGGAGCTTAAAAAACATCAAGCAGTATAAAACACTAAGCAAACTAGTCTTAACCACATCATAAACTTCTGAATGCCAAAGATAAAGAGAAAATTTTGAAAGCCATCCAGAGAAAAATAACATTATATCCAGGGAGAACAATGATGCCATTATCAGTTGGCCTCTCGTAAGAAATAATGGAGGATATTGGAATTGTCATATTTA